AAGAGTTTGAGGTTGCTGTGAGCTATGATGCCACAGCACTCTACCAAGGGTGGCAAAGTGAGACTCTGTCTCAAAAAAAAAAAAAAAAAAAAAAGGAAAGGGCATTTAATTTTTGGGCGAATTTCTTTTTGAAGAAAGGAAAGGGCATTTAATTTGTGGGTGAACATCATGAACAGAAATGTGCTCTGATTGGCTGCAGACAGGTTCAGAATTACCTGAGGTTTCAGGCATCCACTGGGGGTCTTACAACACATGCCCCAAGGGTGAGGGGGGACTACTATGTCTACATGTCCATGAAGCTGGAGTAAATTTATCCGATTTTATGTTCCCATTTCTAGGACATGTTCTTCACAAGCAGTGAGCCCCATAGTGATAAGGAGAAGCTCCCTGACAGTGATGGTTCTGCCCTGAGAATAAGCACCATCGCTGCAGCCATTGCAGACGCGTCAGTAAGTGCTGACCCTTCCCAGCTGGCTGCCATGATCAAGGCACTTTCAAATAGAACTAGAGACAAGACTCTTCAGGAAGATGATAAACCAAAGGACTGTTCCACTGTGTCTCATTTCTTACCTAGTGATTTAGAAAAAAGTAATGGATCCAATGCATTTGATATGGAAAAATACCTTAAAAAAACAGAAGTTGGTAGATATGAAGTTGGATTAGAAAACTTTTCAAGAGCTAGTATGTCTGACATTTGGGATTTATCTTTGGCAAAAGAACAGACTACTCAAGACCTCCATACAGTGGACTTAGGTGCTCCTAATATAAGTGTAAAGGAACCAAAGCAGAACACAGTAGCTGTTTTTTATGGTGAAAGAGGAGAGAGTGAGAAACAGGCATCATTAAGAATAATGGCATCTTCAGATTCAGCTGAGAATGAGAGTGTGGCGGTTGACAGGAAGACGTGCTCCAGCACCCACAGATCATCAGAGACTGGCGAGAGCGGAAACGCTCCCTCGGGTTGCCCCCCACCGTCTAGTAGTCGCTCATCAATAAAGAGCCCCAGAATAACATGCCTTTGGCTATTAGAAGAGTGTGAAGAAACACCTGATGGGGGAGAGACTCAGAAGCAGGAAGAGTCTGTCAGTGAGATGAGCAGCAGTGAGAAGCACGTGACTTTCGAAAACCCTTGCGTAATTTCACCTAAAGATGTTGGTAAATATCCTAGTAATTGGTCATATTCACAAAATTACAGAGTTTTTGTTTTCATTTTTCATTGAAAAATACACTTTTCTGGTAGATTTGAAAAGTACCTCTCTTGAGTATGGTGAACATGGTTCAGAGGATGACCAGGAGAGCTTCAGACCTTCCACCTCACCACTGAGTCATTCTTCTCCTAGTGAAATTTCTGGAACAAGTTTATCAGGGTAAGTGCTTACTTTTTTTCTTTTTTTTATTTAAATAATAAAAATATGCACTCAGGAAACTTGTAAAAATGTTTAAAAAGAAAAATCACTATTGGTTCATATCTTACAAGGAATTACTGTGAGCATTTTGTGAATTTCTTTCCAGCCTCTAGCCATGTTTCTGTGCAAATTTTTGTACTTTGCTTTTTTCACTTATAGACGTAGTCATTCTCTGTATTTAAAAAAAAAAATGAGTAATATGCAAACTACATAATAGATCTGTCTTGGTTTTTTGATACTTCTAGTGGGATACTATGTTTTGCTGTTTCTTTTTGAGACAGGAGCCTCAAGCTGTCCTCCTGGGTAGAGTGCTGTGGTGTCATAGCTCACAGCAACCTCCAACTCCTGGGCTCAAGCGAGTCTCCTGTCTCAGCCTCCCAAGTAGCTTGGACCACAGGCACCCGCCACAACGCCTGGCTATTTTTTGGTTGCAGCCGTCATTGTTGTTTGGTGGGCCCAGGCTGTATTCGAACCCACCACCTTGGGTGTACATGGCTGGCGCCTTAGCCGCTTGAGCCACAGGCGCTGAGCCATGTTTTGCTGTTTCAATGGTAATGAGTTAAATAACTTACTCATAAAATTTGTGTTTTTTGAATGTCTTCTTTTGTGGCTTTGTATGAGAACTTTTGTATGTTTCTCTTATTGAAAGATTTTGATAAATGGAAAAAATTGTCTAGCCAATGAAATTATCAAAGTGTTAAATATAGACTATCCTGAGACCAGGCGTCTCCCAGGGGCAGGAGATGCAGGGGATCCCTCGTGTGGCCACTCCCCAGCTAGGAGACACTGTCCTGGGCAGAGCCTCAGTTTCTTCTACTCTGTAAAGGAAGGGTACAGCTGGAGACCTTCTGTGCTGTCAGTAAGAAAACAGAGTACACCATGTGTGGGGTCGGAGAGCAGCACCCTCCCTTCCCCTCGGCACAGGGGCTCAGTGGGCCCTTGTTGCTCTGCCTTTTACTTGTAGTAAACAAGCAGACGATGAGAAGGGACAATGGGCATCAGAGGAATAGCAGTTCTGTCGGTACTGGTTGTCTCAGCTCTATTGTGTTTTGAGAAGATGCCAATTGCCCAGGAGGCTCTTTCTGGTGGATGTAACACTCAAAAAATCGTGAAGGTGGTGATGGCAGCCCTCAGAAGGTTGGTGGTTTCCAATAGGTGTTATAATGGGACCCCCAGTTACCAAGGGGGAGATGGGGTAGACAAAGAAAAAGGAAGGGAAAAGGGGCAAAGAGCAGAAGACGAGGAAGAAGTGCTTCAGCTGTGGGGCTGGTTCAATCCAGAGAAGTGCCCAGAAGTCATGACAGTGTCCAAATGGAAGGCACTGACAATGGAAAAGTTACTATGCCAAACAAAATGACTGTGGAATTGTCGGAAGGTACATTGAGTGTAACTGGGAGGAGTTTATGACACCTACTGAAAGGTACTTCATGGTTGGCCACAAAGTTATATTTTATGTCATGGTGGGTGGTGTCTCCAGGATGCCTTTGATAGAGCATGGTCCTCGGTATTCGTTCAAAGTGTTGGAGACCAAGCCTTGAGAAGAGGTTGTAGGACATCAATGTTTTGCCCACAAAGACCATCAAGGGCACACTTTGGCCCCCATCCAGCATGAGACTGGCTTCTTCGTCTGTGTGAATGTGGACCAGGTCCTCCAAGATAGTCTGGGGGTAGAGGCACTGGGCCAGTCAGTGGTTCAGCTACAGGCCTGGTGGTACAGGGCATATCCTCAATAGTTGACTTCTGAGAGGCATAAATAGTCAGCAGCATATATCCCATTCAGCCAGAGGGATTTCTACTACCAGGTGGCTGTTTTTGGAGGAATGCCCAGTTTTTCATTCTCTACAAACTCTCTAAAATCTTATCCCCAGAATACTGCTGGGGTTATCATAATAGGCCTACCTTCAGATATTAAAATTGTCAGGATATCTTGGGAGACAGAAGAATAAAATTTGGTTATAAGTAATGTCTAACTTCCAACTGTGCTGGTCGATTTCTGGATTTGAGATAGTATTGTTTTGGCTACTTTCTCAGAAAAGTAGCACTTTTAACTTAAAAAAAAAAAAACAAAAAACCATAGGGCAGTGCCTGTGGCCCAAAGGAGCAGGATACTGGCCCCGTATACCAGAGGTGGCAGGTTCAAACCCAGCCCAAGCCAAAAACTGCAGAAAAAATCTGTCTTAAAACACTCACAAAACAAGGTAACAAACATGCACTGTTCCTCCCTGTGACTTTGAGGCCTATAATATGGGTCAGTGAATTGATGGTAACCAGATATACATCCCTAAGTGATTTCTGATCTATTCTGGATTTGGGGGAAAGGCTAACAGCTGAATCAAAAATAACTAGTCACAGGCCAGACACGGTGGCTCAGGCCTGTAATCCCAGCACTTAGGGAGGCCGAGGCGGGGTGGACTGCCGGAGCTGTTCAAGACCAGCCTGAGCTAGAGCTAGACCTTGACCTTGTCTCTAAAAATAGCCGGGCATTGTGGCAGGCGCCTGTAGTCCCAGTTACCCGGGAGGCTGAGGCAAGAGAATTGCTTAAGCCCAGAAGTTTGCGTTTGTTGTGAGCTGTGATGTCACAGCACTCTGCCAGGGGTGACATAGTGAGACTCTCAAAAACGGGAAAAAAAACTTGTCACAGGCAAAGAAAAAACCAGAGAAACTGTACATTTGCTAGAAAGCATGCTGGAGAAAGGGTGTTAAGGGAAGTATTTGGCAGTAAGACATGGTTTGAGGGGATGTCCCCTTGATTTCAAGGTCTTCCTGTGTTGGTGAGTCTAAAGCAGTGAGGATGTTCTTTGTGGCAGGACTCTTAGAGAGGACACCATGCACCAGGCAGGCCTCAGAAGCTTCACCTGACTGCTTGAGGCCATCTATAGCCAAGTCCTTCCCTCATCTGGACACTTGTCTTCTGTGTGAAGGATTAGGATGGTCCCCAGTAGATGCCGTAGTGGGGCACAGTCACAGCCAGGGAGCCTGAAGAAGCCTGTAGGTGTTCAGTGTGAGCAGAACACGACTTCAATGTGAGTTTGCCACGAGATAGCATAGTGAGTGACAGGGAGGAGCTGCTGGCAGTGCCCGGCCCCTGGAGGAACACGGGCACAGGGCAGGTGCTGAATGGGAGGTGAGGATGTGAATGGAAGAGGCTTCTGTTTCTGTCAGGATGTGTTTAGTCTGTCAGACTCTGCACCTTGTGTATTCAGATCTTGATGAGTAGGTGTAGGTGATGTGAGAGAAGGCAAAGGCCTGAAGTGGACTGGAAAGGCTTGCAAAGAATTCTGTTTCCAGTCAATCCTCAGATGGTTCCACTGCAGCTAGGATATACCTCAGGGCTCCTCAGCCCAGTGTACCCCTCTGGGGGCGGGGCTGACATCAGGCAGGAGTGGGCTGGAGAAGCCCTCTGTCAGGTAAGTGCTCCTTTTCTCTGCTCCGTCTGCACTGTGGACACATGTAGCAGTGTAACAGTCACATATACTCACAGAGCAGTTAGTTGATTTTGTAACAGAAGCATGAGGGTAGCAATGGGAGGTTTAATGGTGACCAAGCAGCTTACCGTTCATTTCCCATCTCTGAGAGACATTGTGAATTTCTGTGTATTATTTATTTTCTATTTTTGGTCTTTCTTTAAATTTTTTTTAAATATGGAACACTTCACAAATTTACCTTGCACAGGGGCCATGCTAATTTTCTCTGTATTGTTCCAATTTTAGTGTATGTGCTGCTGAAGCGAGCACCCTGTTTATTATTTAAAGCAAGTCAACTAAAAGGAAGTTAGCTGGCAACATTCACACATACACAAATATATTTTGCTTGTGTTCTAGTAAAGTCATTTGTTTCCATTTTCAAGCAATGTGTTTGAAATGTATTGCATTAGCTTGAGGGGCAGTGCTTGGGCTTCTTTTAATAAAATGAAACTTGAGTTCTTCTCCACCATTTTACTGTGCCTCCTACTCTTCAATTCTTCCAAAAAATATCACATCCAACAAAACAAACAAAAATCTTGAATAACTGGGCTTTGAAAAAGAAAAAGTAGCCCACACATTAGTTAAGAACTTCTCTGTTACTCAGTTGTTTGGATCCAGGCTGGGGTAGGGAGAGTTTAATGGTTTCAGTCCTGAACCAAAGAACTAATGGAAATTTAAGGAAAAGACTAATGTTTACTTTTGAGGGAATTTCTTGATTTTAAAATTAATTTAAATTTAAATCCCCAATGGACAAATTTAAGATCTCTTATGATTATTCTTAAACACTTTATAAAAATAAAATTCCTGATTTACAATTAAATCAATTGTATTCTCAATAAAAATACATATATAATTTAGGTTTGTTTTACAACATTGGATTTCAGAGATAACCATTAGCTATTTCCCAAGGGTGTGTGCATGTTTTTCACATTCAGGTGAAACGTGGTTGGGTCCACTGGATTGAGACATCGGCAAAGAGCCCAGTGTCTCCAGCGCTCCTCACAGACGCCTTGTTGGAAGTGCTGTTTTGTACACACAGACATTTCTTGTTTACTGGTTTATTATTCTAAAGGACATTAGACATTCATGTAGCCCAACCAAATTTGGAGGTCATCTGGCTCTACCTTGTCACAGTGTGTTTAAAATCTTTGGCTCATTCTGCCTTTTCTGAAGCTTCTGTTGGGCTGGTTGGCTGTGTCTGTGGGATGTGAGGGTGGGCCTGATTCTTTCTGCCTTGAATTGGCTTGATACTTTTGCAAGGTTTTGCTGAGAATTCTTTATTTTTTTCAAGTAATTTTATTAGGCCATGTCTGTGTTGACTCTTTACGATTACTTTGCCCTGTCACACAGTGTGCACCCTTCCAATATATAGATGCAGGCATTCTTTTATTTAAGGAAAGAAGTTCTTTCCTTTCCTTTCCCTTTTCCTGTTCCTTTTCCTTTCTTCCTTTCATTTCTTTTCTCTTTTTTAGACAGAGTCTCACTCTGTTGCCCAGGCTAGAGTGCTGTATTGTCATAGCTTGCAGCAACCTCAAACTCCTGGGCTCAAGCAATTCTCTTGCCTCAGCCTCCCAATTGGCTAGGACTACAGGTGCCCACCACAACACCTGACTAATTTTTCTAGTAGAGATAGGGTTTCACTCACTCTTTTATGGCTGGCCTTGAACTCCTGATCTCAAGGGATCTTTTTGCCTCAGCCTCCCAGAATACTTGGATTATAGGTATGAGCTACCACACCCAAAATTTTGTCTTGCTGTATTCTCCCACCCTCAAGAACTGTAGTAATACATACGTGGAATCTATTTTATTTGACTTGTGTATTTATTTTCTAATTTTTAAAAAGTTTTTATTTTGAAATAATTATAAACTCATAGGAAGTTGTAAGATAGCTTTGAGAGGTTCTGTATGTGCCCCGCCTAGTTTCCCCATGCTTGCACCTTCATAATTACAGTGCAGTGTCACAACAAAAACCCAGCACAGGACTGTGTGTGGGGATTGCTGGGGGCTGTTTATCTCAGTGTGGATTTATGTATCTACCCCCATAGCCAGAGATACTGACCTGTCCCATGGTCTGCCTCTTCCTTCATTTCTTTTAGATTTTGTTTATACACATGTTTCACATTTCTTTTTTTTTTCCCTAACAAAGAGAAATTTTATTTAAGAACAAAGGAAAACTTGTTTCACATTTCTGATCTCTAGGTTTCAGTGTTTTT